CTGTAGCCACCAATGGCGGTGCGGGTAGGGCAGTGTGCGCGCTCCCTACCCAGAAATGCAAAATCATGTATATATATATATATTTTTATATGTGATTTTGCGCAGCCCTGCCACCCTGTAGCAGCAGTTCTATAATAGGGTGGTTGGGAAGCTGTTAAAGATGGCTGCTGCACTTCTGTATTAACCACCCTCCAGAGTATTTACCCCCCTTCCTGACCGGGCCAGTTTTTGCATTACAGCGCTGTTACTTTAACTGACAATTGCACAGTCATGCAATGCTGCACACAAATTAAATTTATGTACTTTTTTTTCCCATGAATAGAGCTTTCTTTTGGTGGTATTTCATCACCTGTGCGTTTTTTATTTTTTTGCGCTATTAAAAAAAAAAGGCAGACAAATTTGAGAAAAAAAAAAAATATTTTTAACTTTTTGTTATAAAACATATCCAGTAAAAAAATGTAAAAACTCAAATTTCGTCATAAATTTAGGCCAAACTGTATTCTGCCACATGTTTTTGCTAAAAAATCCCAATACGTGTAAATTAATTGGTTTGCATGAAAGTTATACCGTTTACAAATGCCGGTATATATACAGGGCTTTTTTAAATTTTTTATTTTTACTAGTAATGACAGTGATCAGTGACTTATAGCAGGACTGCGGTGGACATTCTGACACTGGGGGATCTGACTTGGTGTTACTGACATTCCCAATGACACCAATACAGTGATCAGTGCTAATAAAAAGCACTGACACTGTACTAATGGCACTGGGCAGGAAGGGGTTAACATGTGGGGCAATCAAAGGGTTAACTGTGTGCTGTGTGTGCCGTTTATAACTGTGTGCTGTGTGTGTGCTTCACTGTAAGCACACTCTTTGCATGGCTATGCTTTGCAGGAGTTGACAGGGGAGAGAACTGTTTCGTTTACAAACAGTTCTCCCCCCGTCGGAGATGCTCGGCAATCTCTGGGCACCAGCAAGTAATCACCGGCCAGCGCATGGTGATTGACAGCCGAGGCTGCGAATGGCGGTGGGGGTAGGGTCCTTTCCGGAAATGCGAAATCACGTATATATACGTGATTTTGCGCACAGCTGCTGCCCTGTAGCAGCATTTCTGCTATAGGGCGGTGCTAAAGCGGTTAATGAATGTTCGGTGTAATTCACTCCACCCTGCCGAAAGATAATACATCAGCAACAAAGGAAAAGACCAGGTTAAACCTATAAGTATCATATTTTATTAGGGAGTAATGATTTTAATCTGGAAGCAGACAGGAAGTTGCCCATATGTCTGCAGAAAACACACAGCGGCCAAATTACTTAGTAAAGAAAAATAGTTTATTTGGGCCAGCTTTTCGCAAATTAACTGTTTACCACTTACTGTCCTAAGAATGTATATATATGGCCCCGGGAGCAAACGGTTCTACCAAAAAAATGGCTGCAGCTATTTGACACAAGCCCATTTTTTTGCCAAAAAATTACGTAATTTTTTGCGTTTGTATTGAAAAATTCCATGCTTTTATTTAGACCACAAAACAATGATTGCACAGAAAATATAGTCTATATGGTGAAATGTGTCAAGGAAGTGACATCAAGACTGGAACTGGAAGTTATATATCTACCATATTTGTTGTTACCGATTTCATGCACTATGGATATGGCCTTTTGGACTACTTCTTAGAGTGATCTGGGACTTGGATGCATGTCTAGAAGGTGGACCTAAGAGAAGGAAAGAGACGTCTGATGCTGTACTTTTATCTACATTGTACATGATGTGGTCCACTGATTTCTAAGGGTCTTATTATCTGGTGAGAGTCCAATTTTAAGTGGTGCGTTGCATGGAGGTGATGTCCAGTGATTGGAGTAGATATTTGCATGGAACTGTAAACTATATGTGCTATAATATGGTCACATATAATATGGTCACATATAAAACAATTTTATTTGCTTCGGAGACATGCTCTGTTCTTTATTTTCTATGGGATCAATGGTTTGTGTTTTTACTATAGCCCTGAAATTTTACAATACATTCACTACCTTTCAACAGGGATAAAGTAACTCCAGCTGTTGGGGGTTATTGAAAATATTATTTGTGTTGGGAGGGCACTGAGATTTGCCTGAGCACTGGATATTAGAAATTCATTATTTTGTGTTAGCATGCACTAAAATTTGTGTTGGTGTATATTTTCCTGAAAATATGCTTTTGATAAACAGTTGCACAAATATTTTTTGTAATAAATTCCATCTGTTACCATTTTATCCCACAGGGCCTCTGCTTTCAAAAAACATACAATTGTCTTGCGTTTCTGAGTAATTTTTCGAGCAAAATAATGCTGATTTTAACGTGTGTGAAAAAGTAAAAAATTGCCCCGGATACAAAGTGTTAAAGAAAACCTTTGAGTTACTCTTTTACCAGTATCTTTGCTGCTCAGAGTGTGCTCACCCTTGAGGGTGCATTTTCTTTCTTTCTGGTGTGCTGGGTTAGCTTTATGGTATACAAGGAAAGGCAAGTGATTCCTGAAACTTTGGCTTTATTTCTGTGATACCATTACCTCAATAAAATAGACATTAGGTTAGACCAACATATTTTTATTAACAAAGGGCAAATCAATCTAGCTTTCAGAAGAGGTCAATTTGTACAATCTGGACTAAATTCTGCTGTAGTGTACGATAATAGGAAAATTATTTTACTGCCATGCCAAGAACTGCATGTTTCGGTAAAGAGACCTTTTATATCTTTTCTGATAAATCTGTCACTGGGGAGCTATGATAACACTACAAGATGAGATCGTTGACTTTAAGCTAGAAACCAATTAAACCTTTTTGATATTATCATCCATCAGTTTCTACTACAATCAGATATAGCAGATAGAGATATACTGAATGTAGAGCATAAGCTGTACATCCTGTCCTTAGTGTTCGCTCTCTGTATTAGCTCACAGGCTGGAATGGCTTTACACAGATCATTGTGACACACCTAATGGAACTGTTGCTTTGTCTGTGATTAGTGTCTAACAGCTGGCCTTATATTAATGAACCTGATCATTTTTATCTGACAACCCCCAAACATGCACCTCTCTTTTTCGGTGCTTGTGGTCAACCTAGATTTATATTAAGACAAACCTCTCTCTTCTGACAGATTTGTCTTCATTGATATGCACTTTGTACAGGGGCAGACTAATCATTTGGAAACTCGGGCACAGCCCGAGGGCCCAGGGTCAGTAGGGGGCCCCATGAGATGCCCCTGGTACATTTTTCACAGGCTTTTTTGAGTTTGGGCAAGGACACAGGGGCCCCATGATCCCCTATTGCTCGGGGGCCCCATGAGTTGTCAGTCCGCCCCTGACTGTGTAACAGAGCAGGGGTGGTCAGACTCTCTCAGTGAAATAATAGCAAAGATTGCTGTGCTTGCGATGTTTCCCAAGGCTGCCTATAGATGGGTCATTTTTTTTCCTTCAGCCAGTAGGCTGAGAAAAAAAAAAGAATGGTTTCCCCCATCCACATAAGCAAGGTGGTTGGAAGAATCCTTCCCGCTGGGACTACATATTCTGACAGTGGGGATTCTCTGCTGTCAGGTGATACTGATCAGTGGCTGCAGACAACAGGAGAAAAATTTTCTAACACTAGTTAGATCGACTTAAGTTGAGTGGGAGCTGCCACACATGGATCAAAATTTAGCTGGTTCCTACTGAACCCAGCCAAATTTTTATCCATCTATGACTAACTTAAACTTTTTAAAGTAGAACTATAGGCAAAACATTTTTTTTTTTCATTTTGGATAGAGTAAGCGAGGGTTATAACCCTTGTCAGTTTGTTACCATTTGTTTCCCATTGGGGAGATTTACCTTAACTTCCTGCCCCATAAGACAAAACAGCAAGTGGGAGGAAATCACCGCAAATTATGGGAATTCTTTGGGGACCCCCATGTCACCAGAACGAGGGTCTCCATTGCAAAATTTATCCTCTATTATTTTCTTTGGGCAACCCAAAATTTGGAGTTTTCTTTACTTTCACTTTCGATGATAATGGTAAACAGGTCAAATAGAGGGGGTGAATCTCCCTAATGGGGACACAGACAGTGGTAAAAACCTAATAGGTGTTCTAATCCATCTCCAATTTGTCCACAGCCTACTCTCCCACCTAACCTTTCCCCCAGTTGGTTTGGTGGCATTTGGACACTGAATGACCTTGGGGGAGGGAGTCGAACTGAGTCTTTGCCCTGGGTCAAAGAATGTCACTTTTCCACTGTCAGGACTGCTACCTTAGTCAATCAGCAGAAGCCTTGTATTAATTGTTTCAGCAGCAGGTAGAAGCCCCCTTTACATCTGCTGGAAATCAGCTCTCTAAACTGTATGTAGCTCATACTAGCTCCGACAGTGGCCGAAACAGTTAGTAAAGAAAAAAGTTTGTCAGGGCAGGCTTGGCCCAAACTATTTACAGTGAATGTAAACCTGGAGTATGGCTTTAAAAGGTGAACGTCACCCAGCTATCCAAAAAGTAAAAGTCAGCAGTTACAAGTAACAGAGATCTGCAGACTGAGGGAGACTGTCCTGAAGTCTTCTGGAATGTGTCGTATGCATTCCTGCGGACTGGGGGACAAACGGAGAGCTACCTCAGTAGGAGTTAATAAGGGCAATCACCTGCTGAAAAAGTACTTGCTACCCCACCAAAAGAATATTCATAGAATTCAGATTAGGGAAAAGGCACAGACGGATGTTTGCTCACTGTATGGAGGCAGTGATGTCTCTTTAGAGGTACCACGCACACCCTGCTGAGTCAAAACTATAGCTCTGCAATCTGCAGACACTTTCCACTTTTAAGGTAGGCTACGTTTTTATGTTTACAGAGACATTTGTTTTATTAGATTTTTCTAAGTTTTTCTTACCTTTTAGTTAGGCCTTGCTAGTTCATTTCTTAAAAAAAAAAGGGTGCCGAGCCCTGGTGGTCTTTGATCTATTTCATGTTGTTCATGTAGATCTCCACCTGTCAAAGGTTGCCTACGCGTACACTAAGGAACAGGGGTGGACTGACAACTCATGGGGCCCCCGGGCAATAGGGGATCATGGGGCCCCTGTGTCCTTGCCCAAACTCAAAAAAGTCTATGAAAAAGGTACCAGGGGCATCTCATGGGGCCCCCTACTGACCCTGGGCCCTCGGGCAGTGCCCAAGTTTCCAAATGTTCAGTCCGTCCCTGCTAAGGAATAAAGCCCACACTGCTGTTCTCTGTGCCCTCTTCCCCTCTTCCAACTTTTTGTACCTTTGTGCAGTAGTGACATAACACCTGAATGTAGCTATGCAATGGTTTGATCGTGTTTGACCCCAACATGCTTGCATGCTGCAACTCCTCAATAGTGAGGCTGGACAATCATGATTCTGTCCCTGCACTGAAAAGACTTACATTAGAGAAAAGGTAAAGCAGTAGAAACTCAATTTACACACACATTGCTGAAAAGATTTTGCATGAGACATAGGATACTCACTGTTCACAGGATTTCAATGGAAGGGTCAGAATGACACCCTGTTCGGTGGGAAGGTGAGTATATTTATGAACTTTTCTTCAGAGGCTTTCACACTGTAATGCTGCAGTTTGCTATGGGAGAGTGTCCTTGACTTTGATTTTTAGTGCAATATGCACTAAAAGGCGGATTCAGGCACTGGATGCATTTAAAATGCATTTAATGATTTATATGAATACACACTTACATTAACTTTTGGTTTGATATCTCCATGGAGTTCAGCTTTTAAATTAGGTATCATTTTTCAATGATTTTGACTGTAGTTTTGCTTTAACGATAAGACTGTAAGTGTTTGTGGGTCTTGTTATTTGCCAAGTACATCTTTTAGCTTGGTATAGATTTTGGCAGCTCAGCAAGATCAATACTGAAGCAAAATTTTTCCTTTAGTGTTAGTTTATAAAGTTCATGTTGTTTTGGGTTTCATATTGTTGCAGTAATACTTCTGGTTGTTACTGGTATTAGTTTGTGTTAACATTCATGATTTTATTTTACAGGACATAATTATTTCATCAGTATAAGGAGGTGGAAGAAAAGAAGTGAAAATAATGCATTAGAAATAGATTTGTATTCAAATATAGAAAAGTTACAGTATGAAAATGAAAGTTGCCTCAAATTGAGGATGTTAACAATAGAAGTCGAGGAATGAGTTGACCATAGTAAACCATGGTTTTGTCATTAAAATCCTAATCCTTGTTTCAATGATTGCTCTATTCCAAAAAAACATTTCCAGAATAATCTGAGTTTATTAAAAATGGATTAAAATTCACCTACTGTTTTCCGATGGGGAGTTTAGTAAGGGTGAATTTAAAGCAAGAGCCAAAGTAAATTTAAGTAGATTCTGATTTTTTTGAGTGTAATATATCAGCATAAAAGTAGTGCTTTAGAGCAATCAAATGACAAAATGTAGATATGATGACTCACTATAAGTCATAATGACGTAAGTCTTAAGCATTTGCACATTTTTGTTAAAGTGACACAAAAAGATAAGCTTATTCAAAAATTATTCATACACATATACTACCTAATGGCATTGCAATCTATTTTTGATAAAATTGTTTATTACTGTGTTTTTCTGCCTTCTTGTAACATCCTCTGTGACTCCCAAACTCTCTTTTACACCTCACTTACTTTTGTTTGGAAAGAGCAGTGCACATTAGTTGTGGTCATGTGGAGTGTTGTATGCACACTACAAATCCCATAGTCCATAGCCCCTAGTTCATCTCAGGAGCGAGAGGATGGCTACATTCCTACATACAGCAGGATCACAGAGAATGAATGTAGCCACCTTCTAACAGGATGTCAGTTCACAGCAGCAGCAATAAAAGGGAGTTTGCAGACTTGGAAGGGGATGGAGCAATAGAAGGAACCTTTTTTTTAGGTAAGAATACATACTTGAATAGAATTTTTTTGTTGTTTTTTTTTCAAAGTGAGTTCAGTGTTACTTTAATTCAGGTCCCTGAAAAGCCAAAAGGTTTAGTAGTTTTTTTCTCAGATCTGTCTAAGAAAACCTATTGAGCTAATGCTGGGAAAGTGCACATTAGAAAACTGCTGTTTAACACAAAAATTTCTAAACAACCAAAAAATGTATCTTGCATTGTGGTGGTAAAATATAAAATACTGTACACTTTGTCGCTAAACTCAAAGTGCCAATAAACGTTGCCCCTGCAAGAAAGAGAAATCAAAACCTGAAGTATCTGCAAAAAATCAAGACTTCTGGGACAGTTGAATTGCTGGTCTTTTGCTACTCTCATTATTCCTCCTACTGACCTCTATGTCACTACACAGAAAAACTGGTGGTGTAAGGTTGGTAGGAGGAAGCATTGAGTTGCTGTGGAGATCAGGAATCCAACATTTTTTGGGAGTGCTGGTTTCTGAAATGGCTTCAGGTGATAATTTCTTCTCATAAGATGAGCTTTAAGGCATTATAAACATAAGTAGAAGGAAGCAGAAACAGAAATTTGTTGATAAGGGATACCCAATATAGGTTATCGATCAAGCCTACCAGACATACCTTTCCAGTTAGATCCCCCCACCCAAATCAAGTACACTAGAACCTCAAAACATTAGATTTATCATGCAAAACCATTCATGTTATTCCAAAATGGAGGGCATTTTCAAAAAACATTGGCCTATCTTGAATCAGGATCCACATTTCAATTGTCTCATTCTATCTGCCCCCACATTTGCTTACCGAACGGCCCCTAATATTAAGAACAAGATCGTACCTAGTAAGATCAAACCTGCCAAATCTACTACTGGAGCCAGCCAACTTACTCTAATTCCATTGGTGGGTATTGTCACAATCATGCCCACAGGGAGAGGTGCGGTTCTCCATTTTGCTCCAAACTTCTGCATTTTGGTATTTTTCTTAGACTAATATGCAGTCACCTGAGGGGGGGGGGTGTAGCAGCCTGGACACCAGAGCCAGGCACGGCTCTCACTGTATTAAGAAGTCTTCATGTATCCCCTCATTCCCCACTCCCTCAGGAATGCGTTCAGTGTAGCTGTCTATGCATCCTTTGCCAAAAAAATCTTGGATTGTCCATTGTGGGAAGAGAAACCCAGTTGATTTTTGTAGGAAAGAAGCTGTTATGCTTTGTGTGTAGTCAGAGACGTGAGGACTTTCGGCATTTTACCATCTAGCAGACCGAGAGCAAAGGAGAATCACACTGTACCAACAAGACCATAAATCCCTTTCTAGCTCATCAGACTTGAAATTGCTTAACCCCAGGCATTTATTTGGCAAGTAGTTATTTACCTAAACTTCTTTCTGTTATCTGTTTGCTGTGCTGTTGTGCTCTGTTTATTTATATATATATATATATATATGATATATATATATATATATATATTAGTTACATCTTCTTTCTGTAAATATTTTTACTGCACCCTTTCGACCTTTTGGTACTAAATCTTACTTTCCAAAAGTATTGAACTGTTTCTATAGCTCCCGAATGTAACTTACGAATCCCTGCCGCTGAAGAGCGCTACTATGAGTATTTAACCCTCTGTATAACCGGTCTGTAGAGATAGCAGGATACTGACGGTTAACCAATCATCCTAGTGTATTGCTGAGTTACCTCTTTCTCTGTATAAAAAGGAGTGGTGGCAGTGTAAAGGGTTAATTGTGTAATTAACCTGACCCAGTAACAATCGCATTCAGGCTGCCGGTACGTCGATTGTGGTCCAATTAGCTGGAGAATCGGTGTGCAGGGTGCAGCTGGGTGTGGCATTGTTACGCACGTGACATTGCAGTTTTAGATTGGCTAGTCCTTTGGTCACGAGTTTGGTGAGAAGGGCTGGGGTCTGACGCCGTGCCCGTCACAGATATGTTTGGCTGTAATAAGCCCCTCTGCATTACCTGTGCAGATGTCCAACATGGTCAAAAATCTTTCACTACAAAAGGAAAAACATACCATATTGGGGCTTTTTACAACTGCTCCTCTGCATAAGTAGTTTACTATCTTTCTTGCCCTTGTGGTATGCTTTTACGTAGAGCGTACCATCATAACCTTAATAAACAGGTTCTGCGAACATCATAGGCTGGTGGAAGAGAGCATTACCAAACTCAGTGTACCACTTCACTTTTCCGATTATCACTCTAAATCATCCCAGGATCTGCTTGGGTAAGTGAGTCCATACCTTATTGTCTCCCCCAGGCTGAGCATTTCCAACAGCTCTGCCGACAGGAAACATATTGGATTTTCACCTTGGATACTTTGGCCCCTAAAGGTCTCAGTGAAGAAATCGAGATCCACGTGATTATTTAGTCCTCAATAAAGAGTTCCAACTTGTGATCTAACCTTTTCACCCATTTCGAGTCAAGTACATATGTGCACTATACACACTAATATGTGCGCATGTATGTACATATATATATATATATATATATATATATATATATATATATCTATCTTTACAAATATATAAGAAAATCTTGTAATGTTTGCCCCTTTACTTACCATTGCCTCACACATTTTAAATTCCGAGACACCGCATTTCCCCACGTTCATCCCATCTGGGTGGGTAAGTAAAGTTTAATAAGGGAACACATTTTATATACACTGTATTGCTAAAAGTATTGGGATACCTGCCTTTACACGCACATGAACTTTAATGGCATCCCAGTCTTAGTCTGTAGTCTTCAAACAACTTTGCACATAACAGCTTCAACTCTTCTGGAAAGGCTGTCCGCAAGGTTTAGTAGTGTGTCTATGGGAATGTTTGACCATTCTTCCAGAAGCACATTTGTGAGGTCAGGCACTGATGTCAGACGAGAAGGCCTGGCTCGCAGTCTCCACTCTAATTCATCCCAAAGGTGTTCTATCAGGTTGAGGTCAGGACTCTGTACAGGTCAGTAAAGTTCCTACACCCCAAACTTGCTCATCCAAGTCTATATGGACCTTGCTTTGTGCACTGCTGCACAGTCATGTTGAAACAGGGAGCCATCCCCAAACTGTTCCCACAAAGTTGGAAGTAGGCAGCACAGTGGTTGAATGGTTAGCACTTCCGCTTGGCCGTACTAGGGTAGTTTGTTCAAATCCCAACCACGGCACCACCTGCCTGGAGTTTGCATGTTCTCCCTGTGCCTGCGTGGGTTTCCTCCCACACTTCAAAGACATGCTGGTA